TGTATAAATTCTATATAGGCAGATAAAGGTTGCATAGAAGATAATTATAAGTGCAGGTGAATCGTAAATTTAGATTCAATAAAGGAGTATATCGGCAAACCGATTTGGATATGCAACTGAAGTCTAAAATTACAGCTTAGCATAATTGTATCTTAATTTATTAAATAGATTCAGAGAATATTCGTCAATGGAATAGTCAAATTAAAAACAAGATATCAAATACATCACAAGAAAATATCTAGAGCCAAGTTATTAAGGAGAATCTTAACAAAGAGTAAAACTTCGTGATCCTAGTGAATGAGAAAAGATACACGGTAGGAATACCCTTACTTTTTCTATGAAGAATAACTGACAAGATTTAAAGGACCAAGACCTTTTTTAGCAATGATCAATGAGGATGGGATTCAAGATAAAATATTAGAGATATGAACAAAGGAAAGATGTTTAATCGCAAAAATAGAAATATTAAATTTAGCTAACATTTAAGCATTGAAAAAAATCTATTTTTTTAATAGTAATACTGACCTTGAGAATGTCTTCAAGAGTGTTTGGCCAAAAATCGCCTTCAAAATAAGGTATCTCAGTAGGAGACACTAGCTGATGATCGATGGCATCTCGCAGGATATTTTTATAATCCACAACTATGCCTTCTATAATAGCCTTTTCAAGCATCCTTCGGTACCACTCCTGAAGTCGCTTGGCCTTTGGGATTTTTTGTTCTGGAGGATGCATATGAAATATGTAATCGTCCCCTTCGCCAGGTGGACAAGCCCATATATGAGCCATAGTATATCCACAGCGTTTTGCATATAACAAGTAGCCGACCAGAATCTCGTGATATACATCAGTACGATATTGTTTTGGCCGAAAATAAAATACGGAATCGAGATAAGCGACGTAAACACGACGACGGTTTGGCTGAGGACATTCTGAGCCATACTCCTGAACATATAAGCCAAAGAAGCAGACGTCTTGTCCATCAATTTCTTGAAAGGCAAATATAGCTTTCAGTCTGTATGGAAAAGATTCTGATAATTCACCACTTTCTGTGAATCTTTTCTGCATTAAAGGCCTTACTTCGACGACCTTATCCGAGCTGGCCAAAACACGGACTGTGACTTCGCCTGAGGTTACTTCTTTCTTTTTAAGAAAATCATTAACCCGTTTTTCGAGGAAAGCACTTAGTCTGTTAGAAGGAAGGCGACGAGCAGTGTACCGATTCTCTTTGCGCTTTAGGCTCCTTTCTCGCAGACAAGCGGGGCAAACAAACCCAGTAGGCCAAATTTCGTTCATATGCAATGCGCAGACTTTGTGCCACATACGACCACACTCTTTGCAGTTGACAGTTTCTTCCTTTACTTTCACATTATTTCGCTTAACTTCAAACAAATCCTTCTTTATAGCGCTGTCAAAAGGCATAAAGAGGGAGAATGAAATAATAGTAAGTAATTAAAATGGAAATTATGAGGACATGAAGACCTACACAGGGGTCTGGCCCGGTTCATCAGAGAGGAGAATAGCATCACCAGATTCATTAAAACATTTTTCGCATTGATAATATTTGTCGCACACGAGGCCAGTACCTTGTTTGTCACTAGGAGACAAATTAAATATATAAGAGAAGTTGGCGATGATAGTTGGTGCACGTAGAGTTAATGGCTTACGTATTGTTATAAACGTAGTAAATCGATTCTCTGTTGATCGTGCACACATTCAGAGAAGTGCAAAAAAGAAGCTGAGGTTGGTAGACATAGTCATGACCGCAGCAGAAGCCCATGGCTTGCATAACTTGATCAACTTCTGATTCAAACAGTTCAGAAAGCTAAACATTAAACAGTTAAAGGACATCAAGATATAATGACTGAAAGTATGCAAGGAACGCGACAATAAATTCAGTAACAAATCCATTACTAAACAGAAAAATGGAATCAAGCTACGCTTTTTCGATTAAGCACAACCAATTGTAATTATTTTTAATTGAAAATTTTCCACAGATAATTTTGAACAAATGATTTTCAAAAAAATAATCAAGGCTTACCTTAGTGCACATTTTGTATACTTTAGACGTCTTTTTATTATACAGCCACGCATTATTAAACATGAGTCGAAAATGATCCAAAACCTGCCAAGGATCAGCATATTTACCATCTTCGAGATTGTTTCGAATGGTGGTTAAATCCATCGGTTCCTTGATAACTTGAGGATAATCAGGTATATGAAGAGCGACAGGATCAACAGGAGCACGAAAAGGCTCGGCATTACGATCGTTATAAATGTCCTCATGAAGAGGCAAAAAGTGCCTTAAAAGTTCTTCTCGTGTCCACTTTTTCCACTTGCTTGTATCAGGTTTCTCCGACATCGGAAGAAGAGAAGTGGTTGAGACAGAAGTTAGACCCGTGGAAACCGACGACAAAGTAGCATCACTTATGCTTGAATTCGAAGTTATAGATGCTGGCGCACAAAGTGCGGTCGAGACACTATCGCTGGGTTCATCCTTGGTTTCAATCTTACTCCCCATAACAGTAGATGGAGTGATAACAGAAGAAAAGCTACCAGCAGTTACGTTGGTTGTCTGATAGGTATCACTTGTGTCTGAAGAAGGCTTCACATAGGACAAAGAAAGAGTAGTGCTTGATAAAGAAGATAATTCTGTTGCGGCTGGGCCGATAGCCTGTACACTAGTCGACGGAGCAAATCCAGTAGATGAAGCATTTTCTGATTTCATTCGAAACCGATTACATGTAGAGTTAAGAGCTTCATCAAATTTAGAAAGATTATTATCTCCATCACTATCATGCTGAGCAAATGAAGACAGCTCAAAACCGTCACCACCACAAGATTGAGGAAGCCTCCGAGTGACACATGTATTATTCCCATTTCCAGACACAGTTATACCTTGGTTTGGAAGACCAGAACTGTGAGAACTACTAGCTGGAGGAGATACAGATGTGCCCAAAGCAGCATTGTGGGAAACTGCGAACTGTCCGGACCTTAAATCACCCTGAATTGTAGTAGAACTTCCGGATATGGAGATGCCAGGAGAACAGGTAATTGAGGAAGAGGAAGATGTGGCTGCACTAGATTGGGCCAGAGATAACTGCCTATTTTTTCGCTTTTCCTCTAATTCCTTATGGATTTTGTAACATTTTTCAGCGAGCAAGTGGAAATATTCCTCCATGTCCTTAGCAGTACTGTACATTTCTCGCTCAACCTTTCGGGCATATTCGATGAGGTTATTCATCCGTGGATCAGCATAAGCAGCAGGATCAGGCGATGGAAAAATGAACCTGACACTAAAAAATAAGAAAAATTAAATGAGACATTAAAAAAAAGTAATTAAGAGAGAAACACTTACATCCTTCTGACAAGATGATTGCGTTGAGCAATACTAACATCTTTGCGCCAACCGGTTTGCTCAATTTGGCTAGTATTACTAATTGGATTGCTTATAACAGCGGCAACATCATTGACAGTAGAAGTATCCGTGATTTGCCCACATACGCCAGCCCCAACAAGCTGTCCAGAAGAATTTGTAATAATATTGGCACTAGTTGTCGTAGGGTATGGAAGAGAACCAAGACTAGGGGTTGAGGCTGGAACAGAAACTACCCGAGTTTGGGGAATAGGCATAGTAGTAGGTCTAGAGCCAGTAGAATGGTATTGCACTCCATTATAGTTGACCTGGGAGCTAGAGGAGTTAACAGTATTCTGTTGTATCTGGCTCTGAACTTGCTGGATCCCCTGTTGCTGTTGCCTCTGCTGCAGCATCTGGTTGCGCTGATAGTTTTGATTTTGCTTAAGTGGGTTGCACACAGGGCACTCTCGGCTGCTACAATTTTTCCAGTGTGAAATAATCTGTCTGGATGAAGCGCAATGCGGTATCTGGCAATTTTTGCCCTCTGTACAGGTAGACATATGTTGTAGAACAGCGCGCATAGTCCTGCAGTGGGGAGTCGTACAGGGGTTGGCCCGGCCATTTCCCTCACCTTCTTGCCGTTGACATCGATGGGCATGCAAAAGAAGAACTAACTGCTGTTGAATCAGTTGTCTTTTTTCAGGGTCAGTAGCAACACCCGAAGGAGTTCCTCCACTACTACTGCTAGAGCCACTAAGAGTATTATTCATTGCAGTTGTTCCAAAGGTTTGCTGTTGTTGCTGGCCCTGAGACTGATTGGTAGGCTGGGGAATGGAAATCCTTTGTTGCTGCAGTGAATGAGGTGCCTGCGGAACCCCAGTGGCGATGACAGCAGTAGTGCCTCCTTGGGGAGTGGCAACCACTTGGTTATAAGAAATTGTGTTAGCATTTGTGCCTAGCATTCCACTACCAATACGGTCAGAATTGCTTTGGATAACATGCACAGGGTTGATGTTGGAATAGCCAGTGCGAGAGACAATAGTGCCTAACATAACCGATTGCGTGGAATTTGTATTTGCTGCCGGCAGATTGGTCATCTGAGATCCAACAAAATTATTGTTGGGGTTGACTCCGAGAGTGTCGGAAGTAGTTCCAGCGACACGAAGTACTATCTCTGTCTGACCTGATGATGCCGGTTGCAGAACAGCATTATGAACGACGCCACCGCTATTGACACCAAGATGGACCTTGGGTTCTAATCCAATTATCTGCCCAGTTGAGTTAGACAGGCTTATAGTTTGAGGAATGCCACTGGAAGATATTTCAATTTGGTGCTTTTCTGGTGACTGAACAGCGTGATGCAAGCGAGTGATGTCAGCAGCAGCTGCGTAGGGAGTACTTGGAAGAGTCACAGCATTAGCGTGAGGCATAGGATTTGAGTGATAATTAATAGATCCATGCGGTTCGTTTGCGCGCGCCTCTTGATCCATTAAGTGGAAACTATATAAAATGTATGAATAGGAGATAGTAAAGCCATATAGATTGATGCTAGAGAGAGAAAAATATTAATAATTGAGGATGATGAGAGGATGATTATGAACGAACGAACAAGGAAAAATGGTCAACTTTAAGGCAAGTATGGAAGAAAAGACATGACAAAAATCGAGGACGAATATTTACGGGACAAAACATTGATTAAATACAAGTGTCAACTAAGATATTAAGTTAAAAAAAGAGCGTGTAGTAAGGGATCACCAATTTTTGACACCATTAAATGGTCTAAATTTTGGACTTAAAAATAACATTTGCCATCAGCGTTTACGTACATTTCCAAAAAGCCTCATTTAAGCGTTAAAATTAGAGCATAATATGATTAAACACGGTAACTCGAGGCAGACAAAGATGGCTTCCGCGGACCAGGTATATTCATCAATTTGATTGGCTCCGGAACGCAGACCCGACTTACGTAATTGTTCCCATAGTGCATACAAACAATTTTCAATCTATAACAATTAGTTTATTTTATGCAATAGGTATTTTTTATCATATTTTCAGCTATATGGTCTCATATAGTGTTAGTATGTTTGCTTATACATATCTACGAACTGTTAGTA